AGAGAGAGAGAGAGAGAGAGAGAGAGAGAGAGAGAGAGAGAGAGAGAGAGAGTGGGAGGAAAATATTGAAAAGAAAAAGGAACACAAAAATGCCAGAAGCTGTCATAGCTCAGTTGGTTAGAGCACCCGTTTAGTAATAACGAAGAAGCGGGAGGTCCTGAGTTCGACTCTCAGTGACAGCAAATACACACTCAGGTGTAAATGCTTCTGACACTGTCAGTGACGAGGTGGTGGTGCCCTCAGGGAGGAAGAGAAAGAGAGTGGGAAGAACACATTGAAAAGAGAAAGGAACAAGAAGACACCAGAAGCTGTCATAGCTCAGTTGGTTAGAGCACCCGTTTAGTAATCACAAAGAAGCGGGAGGTCCTGAGTTCGACTCTCAGTGACAGCAAATACACACTCAGGTGTCAATTCTTCTGACATTGTCAGTGATGAGGTGGTGGTGCCCTCAGGGAGGAAGAGAGAGAGAGTGGGAAGAACATATTGAAAAGAAGAAGGAACAACAACACAACAGAAGCTGTCATAGCTCAGTTGGTTAGAGCACCCATTTAGTAATAATGAAGAAGCGGGAGGTCCTGAGTTCGACTCTCAGTGACAGCAAATATACACCCAGGTGTTAACGCTCTGTCAGGGATGAGGTGGTGGTGCCCTGCTTCCCTTTTAGTGCACACCAGGGGATCCCCGTTTTACCAATGAAGGAGAGAGAATGGAGAGACACATGTACAATGAAGGAAGAGAAGGAACAAACTTCAACAAACAGAGAGACATTACGAGAGAAAAGAAGATAAGGAAGAAAGAAACAATTTGGTGGGGGGGCGGGGGGGGGGGGGCGCAGCATCTTATATGCCATAAGTGCACAATTGCCAAAGTGGGAAAAGTGAGAAACCAAAATGAGAGAAACAATCATGGAGAAAACAAGGAAGGCTGCTCTTACCAGCCAAACTAAGCACAAGAAAAAAAGAATTAATATAATAAAATAACAAGATTAATTTAATATAATAAGATAGAACTCTGATTGCCAAATTACCAGAAAGGACCAAATTGAAGAGCGGGATGATATGGAGACCTTGGAAGATGGTGACAGCTATTCCCTATCGCGTGCTGGCAGGGCCTGGCATTCCAGCAGAACTGTTGGTGACCTCGGTGGCTGACCTCTTGAGATCCGGTCTTCTAAATGGGGACAGTGACTTGGACTCAGGAGCCGTCGCGATAGACATGGACAGATTCTATAGAGACGATGGTTCCGAGGATGATATGGACGACTGGAATGAGGAGGAAGGTGACTCCAAAGCGGGCACACCCCTAGGCCGGACAGGTAGCGGAAGCATGGGGGAATACAAGCTGGATGACTCAATCGTCCAAGCTCATCAGAATCCTCGACAACAATGGATGCAAGCGATCTGAACCCTACCTAGATCATTACCCACCATGTTCCCAGTTACATCACTTCCCCGCTGTCCCAATAATGGAGAGTTTTAGACAAAGGGCAAATGCAAAGGACGGATCGGTGGACTGGAAGAAACAAGGAATAATCATAAGAAGTTGGAGCATCAATGGATTAGACAACATAGATGGCAAGGAAGAAAAGTTGTATGACATCATCAAAGGTTTAACAACATACTCGAACAAACCAGCGGACATCATATTGTTACAAGAGACACACCTCACTTCTTCAACAGAACACAATAGAATTCGAAAATTTCCAACAAGGAAACTGGGAGGTATAAAGGACGAAGTATGGTCTTCAGATAATGTATCAAGTAGGAAAGGTACGGCTATCCTCATTCCTAGATCTTCTCGGTTCTACACGGCAGGCTCGGTCCTGGGCACGGAGGCAAATAGGGAAGGGGGAAGGTGGTGTCTCATGGACCTAAAGTGGAAAGAGGAAGAACTTTGAATAATCAATGTGTATGCACCAAACAATCCATCAGAGAGAATGACCTTTATACCAACATCGGACACTTAATCACCCCGCTGTCACCCTGCATTCTAGCAGGTGATTGGAATGCCACTCTAGACCCCTCCACGGACAGGATATCAAGATCCTCGTCTGCTCAACCCACAGAAGAGGCGGTACCTATTCAAAAGCTGATGATAGATCATAACTTGATGGAACCATACCGTACTCTTCACCCTGGGGTAAGGGCTTTCTCGCTGGTAAAAAAGAATCATGCCCACCACACTGCCTTCTCATTCATGGACTACTTCCTACTATCGGAGACCCTAATGGGTGCAGCCAAGAGTGCAAAAATTTTACCCCTCGCACAGTACCCCCGCCTGGACCATAAACCTGTCGAACTCATCCTCAACTTCGAGCAACACATCCAAAAGGGCTCAAGTTTTCACAAACTCAACAACTCCCTCTTATTCAGCCAGACTTTCCAGACGGGAGTCCAAGAATGTTGGCGCAACCTGAAGGAAGGGTATATACCCAATCAGGATAGGTGGGAATGGTTCCAAGTAAGCTACCTCTCTCTTTCACATACGGTAGCCAAAATCTCAAGAAAACTAGCAAATGATAGAAGGCAGAGAAAACAAGCTTTAGAAACAGCTTTAAAGATAGCAGAGACAAATCTGATCGACCAGCCATCATCCCCGCTCTATACAGGAATCTTTGAGAAAG